ATTGAAACGATACCCATTTAGAGTTAGAGACTATACAATTTGATAATGACGAGAAATCTCATACGCATAAAAATTTAAAATAACAATAGATTTTACCTTATGGATATATTAACGATGTTTTTTTTTCCGATGCAGTTAACGAAATTGGGGGAGACAAAGCCCTCGTTGTGTCCTTGGTTTCGCCACAATCACACTTACAAGTTACAATGCATGCAATATTATGCAATTCGTGGTTTTCCTCTTCTTCAAGTTCTGGAGAGGAATTCATAAATAAATAAATAAATAAAATCTCTTGAAAAAAAAATGAATGAGAAAGAGAAATTGGGGGTTTCTTCTGGCCCAAAGATAGCCAGATGGTGTAATATTATACAAAGTAGGAAAATAGTTAACAAATGTTGCCCAATAACTATTTATATCGCAAGTACAATATATTAAAAACAAATTATGAAAGAACATGTCAATTATATGTTGATATGTCTGTGTACGTTACCGTCATCGAGTACAAAATTCAAAAACCCGATGGAAGTGTTTGATTTTTTTGAGAAATATGTTTTGAGAATTTGAAGAGGTGCAGGTAGTATGATATCTTTTGTTATTTTTGTGCTTTTCTTTTCCTTTTCACACATTAATTTCTGGTAATAAAATGGTGTAATCATTATTATTATTTTTATAAGAACCACATAGTCTAAAGGGGGGTGTATTCAATTAGGATTATAAAGCGTTTAAAAAGATTTTAAAAATCCGGGTGTATTCAATTTGGATTGGGGGGGGGTGGTATTCAATTAGGATTATAAAGCGTTTAAAAAGATTTTAAAAATCCGGGTGTATTCAATTTGGATTTATACAAACTTTAAAAGAGGTTTTACAAGTCTGGGTGTATTCAATTTTGACTTGTATGAACTTTTAAAAAGTTCATTCAAATATGGGTGTATTCAATTAGGATTATAAAAAAGTTGAATCAAATCTAAGTGTATTCAAAAGGTCATATATTTGGAAGGATTTCATTAAGTGATAAATTTTAGTAGGTTTTAAGGTGAGAGCTATAAATAACAAAGACCATAATAAATCCAACCTACCCCCCAACTATTTCATAAGACGTTTTTCTCTCGCCCTAGCTTTTCTCTCTGCAACAGAAGACGAACAGCCTCCTTACTCCATCTGTGAAGTTACGCTCCCTATTTTTTCTTTGATCAACACCTTGTTGGGTTTTCTTTTTCCATGATTTTTTTCCCTTGATTTTTCTTTATCGTGTTTTTCTTGTTATTAGGGTATAGTTTGGGGTTACATGTTTTACTTGTTATTAGGGTTTAGCTTGGGGTTAGGGTTTATGCTTGTTACTAGGGTATATACTTGTTTTTCTTCTGAAATATCTATATACGACTTTATAAGAATTGTTCATTGAATCATTGGATAGGATAGGATAGGAAATTGAAATATAGTAATTGACAACCTTTCTATAATCGAACAAAAAAAACTGAGACAAATAGAGATAAACAGTAAAAAAAACGAAAAGCCAAAAATTAAAACTTTTAAATTATGTTTTGGAAGCCTAAACGACCTCAAAAGCCCAAAATCCATCATATTTCACAGCAGAAAGGTATCATACGTCCCAATCGGAGCGTCCAAATAAAAACCTTACAATCTCCCCCTTTGGCCGCCAAATTTGTAAATTCCTACTGCATCCCTTTTCCATTCTTCACTCCAATTCAGCCATTTGTTCTACATCATTCATGTTTGTATTAAGCATAAGATGTGTCTATTAGAATCTATGGTTGTTGATGAGCATTTGATCAACGTTTATAGTTTTGTATATTTTTTATGCTGTATTTGTGATTGACATGATAAAATTCATAGCTGCACCACTCAAATAGAGTCTGAAAATACACAACAAGTAAATGGAAGAGGGAAGAGCAAACAAGATTATAATTCTTGGAGTGTGGAAGAGAGTAGAATGTTGTTGCAACTCATGGTTGATGCTGCAACCCGTGGATTGCGTGATGCTAATGAAATGCTATCTCAAATGAGACCAGAGGAAACAAACGAGAACATATTGGAAGGGAATGCTATCTCAAATGAGACCACCCAGCAAGCTATGGGAAGAATTAGCCTTAGCATTGATTCAATTGCCACCGACTTCCGGGGAGTCCATAACTTATTGGCAAAAAAAGGGAAAAAAAGAGAGAGCAGCAGAGTTATATGTGGGATGCCATTAAGGAGACCCCAAATTTGGATGAACGTGCTCGTTATAAAGTGCTTTCTTTGTTGAATACTAACACAAAAAGGATGCATTTTTGAAAATGTCTCCTGAGGAGCGCTTAAATTGGATATCCTACAATTTGGAATGAGTGGGTTTTTAAAGAGTTTTTTGGAATGACTTGTTTGTTTGGAATGATTGGTTTGTTTGGAATGATTGTTTGTTTGGATCCTAAACCCTAAATATTATCGAGATTACCAGTTGGCTATTCATGACTAATTAGTTGTAGGCGTGACTAATTAGTTGGCTCTTAGCATTTGTTTTTTAAAAAGTATGTTCAAGAAATTATAGAAGTCTAGAATAAAAGCCATACAAATCTTAAGAAAGTTTATTAAAAAATTATATAGAAGTCTTTTGAAAGTCTATCAAGTTCTATGCAAATTCTAAAAGTTCCATCAAGTTTTATGAAATCTAGCACTTAAACAAAATATTTTTAAACACTTTATAATCCTAATTATCAAGGGAATTGTGCTAGACAAATTCAACCGTCTCTTGTCTTGCGTCTACCACATCGTAATAATTTTTGAATTATGCAAATTCTAAAAGTTCCATCAAGTTTTATGAAATCTAGCACTTAAACAAAATATTTTTAAACACTTTATAATCCTAATGATCAAGGGAATTGTGCTAGACAAATTCAACCGTCTCTTGTCTTGCGTCTACCACATCGTAATAATTTTTGAAGTCTATGTATCGAATCCTCAAAGAATAGATAAGAAAAAGTCTACAAAAGCATTAAATGTACCAAAATAAATGGTTTGGAATGTTGTAGAGATTGTGATGGAGTTCATACTCATTCATGCATATGAATGATCCATGCATGATGAAAAAAGTTTATCGTAATAGATAAAGTCTGTTTTTTTGGTCGAAACTGTCCACATTCTTTTTAAGCGATTTTTGTAGAAATGTCACCTAAATTTATACCTCAATTTCAATTTGTCACTTTAAAGAAAAATTTAAGAGAATTGTCACCTTAATTTTTCAAAATCTATAATTTGTCATCTAACTTTTACATCATCCAATTGTCCATCCATTTTTAAAGGTATTTTAGTCTTTCTATTTTCAAAGAAAAAAGAGACCTCTCAAAGAACATTCCATTTAGCCTTAGCCTTAGTTGTTGCAATTAGCTCCATTCTCTTGAGCCTTTGTACGTGTTTGACAGGAAGAAAGGATGAGAGATGGAAAGAGAGGGATGAAAAAGGGAAATTATTGTATAATACTATGTGGTTTTATGAATCCACTCAAATTATATAAGCGATCCGCGTATGGATGGATCTCACTTTTAGTAGAAGAGAAAGTATAGTATAATACTGATCAAACTATAATTGATATATGGCTATGTTTACATCGTGTAATCTTTGTAGAAGTAAGATTAGACAATTAATCAGGATGTTTTTTTTTTGTCTCCAAGAAACATGATCATATAAATTTGAAGTAACAAGTGGTTTCGACCTAGCTAGCGATCAAGAATATATGAACATTAAAAAGACTATGTGATATTACGAATCCGTCCAAATTATACACTTCAATACAATCTTTAACACCTAAACCATAAATTGTATTAATAATTATACGGCTATATTTTTGGTTGGATCCATAACAGCAGCTTGGCATGTTATAAGAATTGTCCATTCACATTAAGCTTTAATGTGAATTTGTAGTTTTGTTCAAATGGAATTTGTAGTTTTCTTTTTAATTAATTGATGAATATTTGATAATCTATTTCATGGGTCCAATCATGTTTTTCCCATTGTGTAGTAAAAAAACTTTCATGCTTTTAAAAGATAAGAGAATTATTACTAAATATTAATAGAATTTTGACGAAGATTATTTTTTGATAGTTTGTTGCCAATGGTACAAGTTATGCTTAGAATACTTCTAAAGGAAATTAAAAAGAGCTTTAATTATTTTGAACAATTACAATGGAAAATATTTTGTGTATCAAATTAATAAGAGAGTTGCATGCTTATGTTAAAAGTGGAACCCCAATGCCTTAGTGTTTTAATCAATTAAATTTTCTCTAAATAAAATCTTGCATAAATCTACCTCTCAATCACACTTATTCTTTTTCATCTATGTTATTTTCTTTACACTGCTCTTTGTGGATACGACACTCGGACTTCCGAACTGCACTACTATACGATACCTTCCCTTGGGTTTTGCAAAGTGGTACAAACATGAAACCCAATGACCAAAAATATTTTTTACCCTAAGTAAAATGTGGTGATTCTTGCTCACATTATTTTGTTTAAATGTCCTTTTTTTTGTTTTTGTTTTTGTTTTAATGCCTTTGGTTTTTGATTGTGTGTTCGAATTTTTATAGTTTTTAGGGTAAGCCAAATATACAAATTTAACTCATTTTTCATTGGAATCTTCCAATATGCTAATCCCACTACCAAATCTTTTTTTTCTTTTTTTTTTTTTGCTTGTACTTTTATAATGTCGTAAATATTTATTTAATGCTTGATGATATGTTTTGGTTCCTAAATTTTAACTAGACTATTTGAAGAATGATATATTATAATGTAGAAGAAGGGCAATAGACATTTAAGAGATTATATACAGTTTCTATTATATATAGATATAATAAAGATTGATGGGTCGTTTGGTTAGTAATTATATAACTAGAAACTTCACACGTGCACATGTTATGTATGGGAAAAACTATGCATGTGAAATGCCATACCAACTAGTATAAATACTGCATGCACTTCCGTTATTGAATGTCTGGTTAGTGTAATTTATCATGGCTATCTATCTCAGTGTACACTTGCATAATATTGCATTTGTTCTTACACTTGCATTCTTTGTCTCTATGACCTCTTGTGCTAATCCCTATCAGTACTTGATGTTCGTGCAACAATGGCCAAAGTCGGTATGTCGCATGGCTTATTGGAGTTCAAAATTCATGGCTTATGGCCTTCTAATTTTTCAGTGTATGAACTGAAGAACTGCACTGGTGCATATCTTGACCTCGAAAAGGTACCCTCTTTTTACTAATTATATATATAATTATATAATTTTGTTTTTGTTTTTCTCATAATTAATTGAAATACATGTATCATCTTTTTACAAATTAGATGAAAAATAACAAGTCATTGCAATCGGAGCTGGTCAAATCTTGGCCCAATGTGAAAGATAATGATCATATGAAGTTTTGGGATTCCCAGTATAAGAAGCATGGTATATGTTCGGACAATACATTCCCGCAGCTTGAATATTTCGTAGTGTCAAATCAGATGTGGAAAAACTACAACATATCCAAGATGTTTGAAAGTTATCCGAAATCTCCCATCGTACCCGGGGCAAAGTATAACAAATCTGACCTTTTGGCAGCAATTAAACACGTTACTAAATTCGACCCTAATATTCGTTGCAAGAACTCGATATTGAGTGAGGTGGTCATCTGTTTTAACTCCAGGGGACGAGATGTGATCGATTGTGATCCAGCGAAAACCTGCAATGCTCCGGAAATAGAGTTCCCTGGTTGAAGCAGCTCTAAATAAATCTAAAATTTGATGTTAATGATATTTAACTTACTTTAGTATGTATCAGATTGGCTTTCAAAGCTCTGTTACGCAATAAAGATAAAGAGTAGGGTTCGAAGTTTTCCATGTTTTGTCTGTGCATTAGCTTGGTTATTAGGGTTTATGGTAAGACTTCGTTCTCACAAATTCAGAATTAGTGCCTTACGACCCCGAAATAGAGAGAACATGTAGGAAATGGCTAAAAGGAAAATTGAGACGAGTAATCCTTTAATAGATGTGGCTGAAAATAATGAGACCAAAACTGTTAGGGAGTATTTTGCTCCCGTCATCACCAAATCCCCATCATGCATTGTGTTGCCTAACTCTATAATGCCAACCATTTCGAGTTTTGAAATATGTTTCTTTTAATGAGACATAAAAAAAACAGAGCTTATAAGATGTGGCTGAAAAATAAAAAATAAACAGCTTCTTTTTATTTTAATGAGATATTGGTTCATGAGATATTGGTTCTGAAATATGTTTGATGTTAATGAGATATTGGTTCTGAAATATGTTTGATGTTAATGAGATATTGGTTCAGACATTTTTTGTGGTTATAGATAGACTTGCTGCTATTTCGGTGGCACTGATAATTGATGCTTCATTTTGTATTTGGTTGATTAAATATTAGTGGAAATAAAAATTTAACATCTTGAAGTATTGGGCTTGGGGGAAATTAAGGCATTCCCAGCTATTTGGTTTGCCTTGGCTGAAATAGATTTCTTAAGAAAACGAAACAACAGAGCTTATAAGATGTTTTGATCTGTTTAAATGATTTGAGACAAAAACTGCAAACACTTTTTATAGGCATTTGAAGTCTTAGGCTCCAAGTTCCGTGTTCCATGGTTCTCTCCATGATCCACAATCACTCCATCATGGGCATGTCAGTGGATGATCATGTAGGCTTTGCCATGTGGCATGAAACATGCTAGCCTTTGCCTTGGTAAAACTTGGCCATCAAGTCCCACTAATTTCATGATGTCATTAATGTGTAGTCATGGATAGAAAATAAAACACGTGTACCTCTTTCCCAAGTTTAGGGTGCTAATTGATAATATATTGAGGAGTAATTTTTACTCCCACACATGCCCCCTTTTCTCTCTTCAGACACACATTTTGTTCTCGAGTGTGGAGAGAGAAAATATTCGATATGGGAGTTCGTTCAAAATTCATTGCCTTCTCGTCAAGGTTAGACAAAGAATCATTAGCAAAGTATTGTCTTGATAAACCTGTCATTTGAACATTTCACGAGCCAATGAACATCGGTATAAAATGTGTCAAATGCGAATTCCACAAAATATATAATGCTTGTCCAAACTGCATGTGTCAGGATAGTACATAATATGGCTCATTGTTTGTTATATAAAGCATGCAAAAACTAATAAAATACAAATGGTACGAATGCCTAAAGCAACTAAACCTTTTTGTAAAGTGATATAAAGAATTTTGACCAAAGATTATGGACCCAATTGATCGCCCCTAGAGAATTGGTAACCTCGGGGTGATGTAGGGAATCGACATCGACCCAATTGATTGCTCCAGAGGATTGGTAACCTCGGGGTGATGTAGAGAATCGACATGGACCCAATTGATCGCCCAAGAGAATTGGTAAGCTAGGGATGATGTTGGAATCTACATGGACCCAATTGATTACCTCCAGGGGATTGGTAACCTTAGGGTGATGTTGGGATTGTCATGGATCCAATTGATTGCCCCCAGGAGATTGGTAACTCCCGAGGTGATGTAGGAATCGGCATGGATATAATGATATTGTTAAGAAATTCATATGAACCAAGATAGTTTGCGGAGTTTTGAAGCATACCATATTTATTGTGCTTTGATAATGACCAAGTGGTCCCCCAAGCACCATTTCATAGAGTGTCTTGGCTTTGGTACACACCTCTCCTTATCTTCAATTTATTATCAACTCTGTTAGTTGATTTTGTTGGCCTTTGAAATATAGAATTTGTATAGGTTTATTTACACCAATGTCCACTGAAATTACGGTCAAATCTCACATTGTACCCCCAAACTCAAAGTGGCTCGCTTACATCCCTTGATCGAGGTTTGGTAACCCACTTTGCCCCATGCCGTCAACTAAACTTTGATGACGTGACAAGGATCTTTTTGTAAATTTATACACATGGATCCTTGTCCACCAATTTAGTGGGTGACGTGGCAGGCATTCCCAGCTATTTGGTTTGCCTTGGCTGAAATAGATTTCTTAAGAAAACGAAACAACAGAGCTTATAAGATGTTTTGATCTGTTTAAATGATTTGAGACAAAAACTGCAAACACTTTTTATAGGCATTTGAAGTCTTAGGCTCCAAGTTCCGTGTTCCATGGTTCTCTCCATGATCCACAATCACTCCATCATGGGCATGTCAGTGGATGATCATGTAGGCTTTGCCATGTGGCATGAAACATGCTAGCCTTTGCCTTGGTAAAACTTGGCCATCAAGTCCCACTAATTTCATGATGTCATTAATGTGTAGTCATGGATAGAAAATAAAACACGTGTACCTCTTTCCCAAGTTTAGGGTGCTAATTGATAATATATTGAGGAGTAATTTTTACTCCCACACATGCCCCCTTTTCTCTCTTCAGACACACATTTTGTTCTCGAGTGTGGAGAGAGAAAATATTCGATATGGGAGTTCGTTCAAAATTCATTGCCTTCTCGTCAAGGTTAGACAAAGAATCATTAGCAAAGTATTGTCTTGATAAACCTGTCATTTGAACATTTCACGAGCCAATGAACATCGGTATAAAATGTGTCAAATGCGAATTCCACAAAATATATAATGCTTGTCCAAACTGCATGTGTCAGGATAGTACATAATATGGCTCATTGTTTGTTATATAAAGCATGCAAAAACTAATAAAATACAAATGGTACGAATGCCTAAAGCAACTAAACCTTTTTGTAAAGTGATATAAAGAATTTTGACCAAAGATTCGACAATAGTAGCAAGCTCCTATATAAAATCATATGACAAATTGATAAAGAAATATGAATTAGCAGAGTAAAGAATCACAATTTCTAATATTGAGTAAAATAATGGCTTGTCAATCCTTGCTGCCAAGTGACTTGAAACCATCGCACATAGCACTTTTCGTTCCCTTCTAATTGATTGGGATGGATCCAATTGATTGTCCTCATGGTGATGTAGGGGTCGATATAGACCTAATTAATCATCTCAAAGGATTTGTAACCTCAGGGTGATGTAAGGATTGGTATGGACCCAATTGATCGCCCCTAGAGAATTGGTAACCTCGGGGTGATGTAGGGAATCGACATCGACCCAATTGATTGCTCCAGAGGATTGGTAACCTCGGGGTGATGTAGAGAATCGACATGGACCCAATTGATCGCCCAAGAGAATTGGTAAGCTAGGGATGATGTTGGAATCTACATGGACCCAATTGATTACCTCCAGGGGATTGGTAACCTTAGGGTGATGTTGGGATTGTCATGGATCCAATTGATTGCCCCCAGGAGATTGGTAACTCCCGAGGTGATGTAGGAATCGGCATGGATATAATGATATTGTTAAGAAATTCATATGAACCAAGATAGTTTGCGGAGTTTTGAAGCATACCATATTTATTGTGCTTTGATAATGACCAAGTGGTCCCCCAAGCACCATTTCATAGAGTGTCTTGGCTTTGGTACACACCTCTCCTTATCTTCAATTTATTATCAACTCTGTTAGTTGATTTTGTTGGCCTTTGAAATATAGAATTTGTATAGGTT